ACAAAGTCCCTCAGGGAGCTAGTAGTAGCACAGGCCATTATAGAACTGTGAACCATTGACGTTTTCTGTATTTGAAACTTGTCATATTATAGGAGGATTGCGTCAGCATCATCATACCTAGAGAAAGTTCTGAAGCACAGTTCTGAAGCTTCTTTAGCCTTGTCAAATAACGTTTTACCAAAATCACCCCATACAAGAAACTAATAATCGAAGTGAGTTGAATTTGAGCGTTGTTTGTATAATATATAGATTTAACCTGGAGTAAAAGCGAAGCTCCCGTTGATAAATATATTATTTGAATAAAACAATTAATTTGTATTCAACAAAACATTTTACTTTAGGTGAGATTTTGAGGAGGGGTTCGTTGCTTAAGATTACCCATAATTTGCAAACAGTCCAAGAATGAGTCTTACATCGAGTTAACCCTCTAAACCCTAAGATCAAAATTTGAATCTTCATTTGTTGCCTCTGATCATTTCCTACAGAAGTGTGGAGAATTAAGTTGAAAAAAATCAAGCAGGATTCATCTTGTGTGACGTGATCATGTCCATAATGCGCATGACCACTCTGTTTTACAAAACATTGATATTACAAGGAGAAATTTGATGCTGATCACTCCTAGGGCTTAGAGGGTTAATAGTCTTAAATTGTGTTCACCCTAAAACAAGCACTCCTGCATGCGATGTTCAAGTACGACTGAAAACAATCGCACTGATATAGGAGAGAGATATGATCCTAATAAAAAAAATAAGACAACAAAATAATATAATTCAATGAAACATTTACAACGGCAATCATTTTAACTCATCACTTCATCCTCACGTATTGAGGATAAAATGTATCTGAAAATTCTGAGTCATACATGTATAAAAACCTTGCAGACTCCCGAAACGCACAATGTAAAGGAGAAGGGAGCAAATACAAGGAATCTCAATTACAGTGGCGGACACGTGAGGCTGCAACCTATATATAAGGCGTTATATGTAGAACTGAGGCCATGAACATGGGCGCCCACTGGGAGAATAAAACCTAGAGATTTTCGTTCATTAGCTTTTTCTGTGACGTTACATGTTGAAAAGTGCTGAAAGTATAGGTATATGTTTTACCATTTAACAGAACAGATGGGTATGCACGATCCCTATAAGCTTAAATTATCTTAGCACATAGGGACATCAGCTGATCGTCCTGGTAATACTCATGCAGTCACAACTTGTAGTTTACTTACCAGGAGGACATTGGGTACACTCTTTAATGACGTCTCTAGAAGAAGAAGCCATATATGTTCCCAAAGGACACGGAAGAAAGAGAGAAAACTCCTGGTTAAGTTCCTTGACTGTCTCTATCGGGTAGTAACCTGATCCAGAGAGGGCGGAAATGAAGAATGGTCCTATGTAAGTTATTTCCCAGGTTTCGGCTTTGATTGCCTGTGCTTTATAATTAACAGGATTCCTGGAACAAAAAATAAATAATTAAGCAATCTCTTTACATTTGACGACTTTCCAGAAACGACAAAAACAAAGACAAACTCAAAAACAAATAAAAACAAACTTTTATAATGTCTCTGGGTGTTCTTATTCCGAAATGGACGATCACAAAATGGACTTGACAGACTGCTCTTGAATAGTTGCTAGAATGCTTTAAAAGCATGAATGTGACGCATGTAGGTGTAACTATGCTTCACTGGAATGATACGATGTTAATTCTTAAACTGGTATTTTCAACACTAAACAGATGGCTTCGACTAATAACAGGTAAGAAAAAATACATAATATAAGATGAATAAAAATGAGTGTACAATTTAGAGTGATTATACTTAACTGATCTTAGCCCTTGAAAAAGGCAGTAAGATGCTACGCAATATCATGTACTTACTCCATTACCTTATTTCAATCCATACCTCTTATTAGCCGAGTTTTTCGTCCTTACCGTAAATCGATGGACAAAAAAATTGAGGATCCGACCGAAAAAAACGAGGCTAATAAGATGTTTATTATATGGTTTCCTATTAGGGGAACCGGAAACAAGTGCTTGACTACCGATTTGGCAGTCATTTTACAGGCGTCACATTATAGAAGTTTTAATTAAATCACGGAAACAATGGTATATTGCAGAGGCTTTCAACACGAAGTAAAATCATCGTGTTAATCTACCATGCTGAAAACGTTTATTTGTCAAAGCTAAAAGCACTGTAAGTATTGGCTCGCCAATGTGATGCTGAAGTCTTCTGTCTGGCTCGAAGTCGCCTCCATCTTCCTTTCAATGGTATTCGAAAGAAACATGTAAGATGATACAAGATGATCAGGTGCAGGTATGTTTGCTATCATATTATTTGTCGAAGGAATCACTCGAGCTCGTTTTCTCTTAGTCTAAACGTCTCGAACCCTGCCAGTCGATGTTCGTGTGAAAATTTTCAAGTAACGCACTGGAATCCTCTTCTTCGATAAGACATCGGCCTCGTTCACAAATAAACACAGGCTAAAATATCAAGGTACGAAGTCAACATCCGAGTTCTTTTTTTTAGATAACGAGAATCAGAGCTGCATGGAAACTGAGAATTTGCAGTTTTGAAATTTTGGTCCGTATAGCAAGTTACGGACTGCCCAACTTAACCAATCGCAAGGCGAAAACAGCGGACTTAGCCGTATAATATTAATAGGGAACTTAAGAACCACGACGACGACTTTGTCGACGACGACCGGAAGTGAGATACCGTGCACTGCGCAAGCGCGATCAGCAAGTTTCGTCGTCGTGGTGTCGTCGACGACGTCAAACAGAGTAGAATCATGTCGTCCTGCAATCCACAAGCTTCAGCAGGTATAACTCCCTGTTTTTAAGCGATTTTTGAAGAGCTTTGTAATTTTTTATCCTCGTAAATCCAGGTATCCTTTCTTTTTTCTCCTAACAAGCGATGTTGATTGAAAATTCGACTGATGAATTGTGTTTACTTTGAAGACAACACTGAGCTGTGGAGGCCGAGCGAGCGAACTCGTAAGTGATAAATTTAGTTGTACGTATTTAGGAAAGGCATATCATATATCTTTAATATGGAGGAAATGAACTTTATAAGGAAAACAGCTATCGCATCGGAATGTCTCTTTTTCCAAATCTAAACTCTGACAGACACTAGAACTCGGTCATCTCATTCAGGTTGAAAGATGAATAATCTTCGTACGAAAAGCAGAGATTTTTCCATTCGTAAAGGTTAGACAACACTAAAAATTGTTCATCGTCAATGAAAGTAGACGTACGGCTTATAAAATAAGGTCTTGCATCGTTTGAAAAGACGCCTTTGCGAAAAAACTTTGTTGCGAACGAACAGCACAGTTCTGCTACTTCTACTTGTTTGTTTACATTCACTGTAGTCGTCGTCGACTACAGATCGACTGCATCTTAAGTTTCCTTTTTCCCGCCTAAACTGACGTTCTCGTTCCAGTCCTTTCCCAGTCAATAGAAGTCGTCGTCGTGAACTTTGTCGTGGTTCTTAAGTTCCCTAATATTTAAGCAATAGACCACACTTTCTATGGGTTTACCGGCGTGATAACCCAGCTTTTCTCGTGTTCTCCCAACATCCCGCGGTACTACTGGTTCAAATTCCGTGCAGTTGTTGTTTTGCTCATAAACCTATTGCTTTTTGATGTTCCGTTGCTAGCTGTCGCCGTCGTGGTTTCGTAAGGTCACAACTATTATAACTATGCCGGCAGTCAACACAAAGACAAAGTGATCGCTTACGCAGTGTTGTCATCTACGGGAATGAAAACATGAGTTCAAACTGTACTGATTAACGTAATTCCATAAAGTAACTAGCTTAGAAGGTAAATGCATGAGTCAAATAAACAACTGACAGTGCTGTTCACATCGAATTATTAAACTTTTGCCAACTCACATATCTTCCACTAAATATTTACATAATGTCGCTGCCAAAGAAACTTTGGAAAAATCACGTCTGCGTCAGACGTAATTAAATGTAAAGTAAACAGCCGCATATAACAACCTACATTTTGTACGGCACTTTTAAAGTCTGCAAATTACGTTCTTTTGGCAATCTAGGCTATATCAGTTCTTAGTTAGGTTCAATTTTTTTTATTAACGGAATAAATATAAAATGGGTTTGATCCTTAAAAAAAGTATACATTCACAATTGTATTATTGTAACCCTAACAAAATTGAACACCGAATTTATATACAGGTTGGTACAGTACGTTCTCCTTATACTTAAATTTACAATTAAATTGTTTCTCATAATAACCCACAGGTTGTTGTATTTTTGGGTAGTAAAGTGACAATCTTCAGGTTCTTAAATGCGGGTATTTACTGTTATGTCTACTAACAGGTAAATTCTGCAATTTTGTGTGTCGTCCTTTGAAGAGTATAACAATGTACCAAGCGTTCTGTTCCCTATTATAAACCTAAACAAGGCACACAAAAAATATTTTCATACATGATCATCGCCATTGTTATTGTCATTATCATCATCATCATCATCATCATCATTGTCATTATCATCATCATCATCATCATCTTTTTATTACCGCAATAACGCGAATGAAGCGGTAGGCTGCTAAAACCACCTTAAAATTTACCACCGCTTCGTTAACGTGGGAAATGAATTTTACCGTGGTGTGTTAATCACAATCGCGAAAAATGTTTTTCACGTGTGAGAAAAATGATGCGTCCAATCAAAAGCCAAACACAGGTGTGTGAGTTTCGCGCCAAAAATTCGGGCCTTTTGA